GAGGGACTCCAATGATTCCTGTACCAATGAGTTTAATGGCTCCAGGACCAACTGTAAGTCTATTTCTACTGTGATATTGATATAGAATTCAGACTGCGTTAAAGATTAACTGTACATTTAAACACATTACGTCAAACCGCTTTAGCAATATACCCTATGAACCCCACATTTACTCTTGCCTTGTTTTAAGTGTTGTCACAAAGGCCCAAGGCGGTTTAAACATTACTCTGTATACATTCAGCTTGTCTGCACTGAATCTGCAGAAAAAGGATTAAAAAAAAGATGGACACAAATCTTTTGGCAGGCAAACAGCGCTCCTACATTCATGCGAAAAAGTGCAGCCCATGGAAACAATTTTTATTTTTCAATATATTTGATGAGACGGACATTTTAACCTTTTTCACACAATGCCTACTGATAAAGGTGATATACTTGTACAAAGGACAGAAAAGATTGACATGGTGTGTTCACTCTCCTAATCTAAATGACAGAAAATGCAGATTTGTCATGTGGAAACGGTACACCCCACACTTACCACCACGTCGGATCCATAGATTTAGTTAGGGATGCACCGATACCAAGTACCATACTCGGTACAAGTACAGATAATTTTCCTGCTCCAAGGCTAGACTAGAGAAAAATCCAAAAGTTAGGTGGCATCTGTCATTTGTAAGGAGCACACGGAGCTCCTTGGATTTGTACATCTCTGGTTTAATGTATGATTTTGTTTTTATAAAAATAAAAGGGATGCACCGATACCAGTTTTACGAGTACTGGTACTTGCCCAAGTATTTACAAGTACTGATACATTTTTGTTTATTGTCATGTAACAGTTTTTCTAAAACAATACAGACTAATGATTTCTGGACAGTGGTGGAGCGCCAGAGCCAGGTCCCACCTGAAACCTCTGCAACCCTGGTAGTTCTCATGAAAATGCCAAGTATCGGCATTGGTGCCTCCCCTAGATTTAGGTGTGACAGATTACGTGCTAATGATTAGAACCTCCTTTCAGGAGTATGTAAGTGGAGCTTGTCTTATTTTAATTAGGGATGCACAGATACCAGTGGCGATACTTGGCTTTTTCACGAGAACTACCAGGGTTGCAGCGGGGACTTAGCTCTGGCGCTCCACCACTGTCCTGAAATCATTAGTCTGTATTGTTTTAGAAAAACTGTCACATGACAATACACAAAAATGTATCAGTACTTGTATCTGTGAGTGGGCAAGTATCAGTACTTGAAAAAATTGTATCGGTGCATCCCTTTTATTTATATTTATAAAAACAAAATCATACATTAAAACAGAGATGTACAAATCCCAGGAGCTCCGCATGCTCCTTTACAAATGACCGCTGCCTCCTAACTTGAATTTTTCTCTAGTTTAGTCTTGGAGCTCAAAGGTATCTGTGCATCCCTAATTTTAATCTCAGATAATTAGGGACTGGTGCTCTTCGTTAATAAGGCAAGATAAAGAGCTCTTTTAGGCCCTCAAAAAAAGGTAGTGGCTGCCTATGGGTCTGGCAAGGGATTTAAAAAGCTAGCCACATCATTTAAAATTGATAATTCCGCTGTAAGCAATATCTTCAAGTAGATTAGATTCCAAGCAACTGCTAATTTGTAAAAGATTGGCCAGGCCAGCAAATTCAACTCTAGAGCTGGATGTTTAATGCTAATAGAAATCTCCAAGAACCCCAAAATTTAATTGAGGGATCTACAGGTAACCCCTGTAAGAGTCGGTGTCTAAGTGCATGCATCTGCAATCAAGAGACTACAAAAACTTAACCTGCATGGGAGGTGTGGCAGAAGAAAAAAAAAAGTATTTTCTGTCCAAAAACAACATTAGAGCACAGTTTGCTATTGACCGTATAGGCAGCGACCAGGCCTCCTGGAACAATGTGCTGTGGACTGAAAGTTGTTTGGCTACAGTAGCAGTAGGCATGTGCGGCACAATCTAAAGACCGTTTCAGGAGAAGAACCTCATACCAGGTGTGAAGCATGGAGATGGAATTTTATGGTTTGGACTTGACTTTCTGCCTGGGCAACTTTCAGTCATCAATTCATCTATGAACTGTACATCATATTAAGGTGTTCTTGATAAGATTGTAACGCCATCTGTCCAAAAGTTCAAGCTCGACTAGAAATGGATGTTACAACACATTGAGGCGATGAACACTAGTAAATCCACCAAAGAATGACTACAAAACCCCCCCAAAGAAACAGCGAGTTATGTTTAAATCGCATTCATGTTATAGGGGGTTTTGAAACAGACAGTTCATTCAAAGAAACCAACAGACATCTTGCAAATGAAGGGATTTGGCATGGGAGGAGTGGTAAAAAAAAAATTCTAAATCAATGCCAGAGACTGGCGGGCAGTTATGTAATACGCCCACAAAACGCCATTTTTGCAATGCCAGTTTCTGAGGACAAGGGTGCACTTGGCGCAGCACAGTATCCCATGACATCTATTGATATGTTTGTTGAATTAAAACATGAGGATGTGCCTTTTCAATGATTAAGTATAGCTCCTTCATCTGTAGGCACTGTTTGAATAAGGATTTCATGTTTGCTCATCCATTTCCAAGTGGGGGCAATTATTTTTAATTTGTGTATTTAGCTGTTTGGAGTTCAGCTTTAAATGTATTAACTTTTTTTTTTGGTATTTTTAATAAGAGTGGGTAAATATTAGAACACCTATACCTACCTTTTTACTTATATCTAGGTCACAAAGAGAAATTCTCTTATTGTTTTACCAAATATTGTCACCCCTGCATTTCACATAATGCACCACTTCGCACAGAAAATTGTTGCAATTACAAATGTTTAGGCATTCTCATATTTCTTTTGTTTGTATTGGTATGACGCAAGTGAAGAAATAAAAGCCAAACCTGACACATTCCATAAAAAACTCAGAAAAATGGACTGGACAAAATTATTGGCACCCTCAATTAATATTTGGTTATTTGGTAGCACAGCCCTTTGAAAAAAATAAGTGAGATCAATGGCTTCCTGTAACCATCAATTAGTTTCTTAGACCTCTGTACAGGAATTTTGGACCACTCTTCTGTCGCCAACTGCTCCAGGTCTCTCAGATTGGAAGGGTTCCTTTTCCCAACTGATGTTTTGAGATCTCTCCACAGGTGGTCTATGGTATTCAGATCTGGACTCATTGCTGGCCAGTCCAGTACTCTCCAGCGCTTTGTCTGAAACCATTTCTGGGTGCTTTTTGACTTGTGCTCTGGGCCATTGTCCTGCTGCAAGACACATGACCTTTGACGGAGACCCAACTTTCTGACACTGGGCCCTACATTGCACCCCAGAATTCTTTGGTAGTCTTCAGATTTCATAATGCCATGCACAGAGTTAAGACATCCACTGCCTAAAGCAGCCCCAAAACATAAGTGAACCTCCACCATGTTTGACTGTAGGGACTGTATTTTTTTCTGTAAAGGCCTCATTTCTTTTTCTGAAAACAGTAGAACTATGGGCTTTACCAAAAAGCTGTAATTTTGTTTCGTCTGTCCACAGCACGTTCTCCCAAAAGGATTTTGGCTTCCTCGGGTAAGTTTTGGCAAACTCCAATCTGGCTTTTTTATGTTTGTGTGTCAGCAGTGGTGGTCCTCCTACCATTGCGTCCCTTTTAATTCAGATGGCGCCGTGTAGTGTGAGGTGACACAGTTGTACCGTGTGCCTGAAGGTCAGCTTGAATTTGTCTGGAAGTTTGATCGAGGGTTTTTATCCACCATTCGAACAATCCTTCGTTGCAATCTTTGATCAATTGTTCTCTTTCGTCCAGGGAGTTTAGCTACAGTGCCATGGCCTGTAAACCTTGGCAGTGTTGCGCACAGTGGACACCAGAACATTAAGATCTCTAGAGATGGACTTGTAACCTTGACATTGTCCATGCTTTTCCACAAAAACTTGGAATGCAATTATTTCTTGCAATTTGGAGAAGGTGCCAATAATTTTGTCCAGTCCATTTTTGCAGTTTTTTTGGCTTTTTTTTTTCCTACACTCTCTTTTGTGCCATACCAATACAAAGAAAATAAATAAACATGAGAATGCCTAAACATTTGTAATCGCAACAATTTTCTGCGCAAAGTGGTGCATTATCTGACAGAGATGCAGGTGTGCCAATATTTGTGTCTCCTATCTATCCATCTATCCCCTGCAGATTTTGTAAGTTTGCCCACTTACAAAGAAATTAAAGGTTTATAATTTGTATCATAGGTGTGTTTTAAATGATAGAGACAGAATATCAACTACAAATCCAGAAAAAACACATGATACAAATGTTATAAATTGAGTTGCAGTTCAGTGAGTAAAATGAGTATTTGATCCCCAAGCAAAACATGACTTAGTACTTGGTGGAGAAACCCTTGTTGGCAAGCACAGAGGTAAGATATTTCTTGTAGTTGGTTACCAGGTTTGCGCACACCTCAGGAGGGATTTTGGTCCACTCTTTACAGATCTTTTCTAAATCCTTAGGGTTTCTTGGCTTTCACTTGGCAACTTGAAGTTTCAGCTCCCTCCATACATTTTCTATAGGATTAAGGTCTGGAGACTGGCCAGGCCACTCCATGACCTTAATGTGCTTCTTGAGCCACTACTTTGTTTGCTTGGGGGTATATTTTGGGTCATTGTTATGTTGAAAGACCCATCCACGGCCCATCTTCAGTGTTCTGACTGAGGGAAGGAGGTTGTCATCCAAGATTTTACAATACATGGCCCCGTCCATTGGCTCCTCAATGCGACAGTCGGCCTGTACCTTTAGCAGAGAAACGACCCCAAAGCATAATGTTTCCACCTCCCTGCTTGACTGTAGGGATGGTGTTCTTAGGGTCATAGTCAGCATTTTTCTTCCTCCAAACACGGCAAGTCGGGTTAATGCCAAAGAGCTCAATTTTGGTCTCATCTGACCGCAGAACTTTCTCCCAATCCTTCTCAGAATCATTTAGATGTTCATTGGCAAACTTCAGACAGGCCTGTACACGTGCCTTCTTGAAGAGTGGGACCTTGTGGGCGCTGCAGGATCTCATTCCATGGCGGTGTATTGTGTTACCAATAATTTGTATGGTGACCTGTGGTCCCAACTTCCTTGAGATCATTCAGAAGCTCCTGTGTAGTTTTGGGCTGATCCCTAACTTTTCTCATGATCATCCTTACCCCATGAGGCAAAATCTTGCATGGAGCTTCAGACCGAGGGCAATTGATGGTTATTTTGTATTCCTTCCATTTGCGAATAATCGGTCCAACAGTTGTTTCCTTCTCACCAAGCTTCTTGCTGATAGTCTTGTAGCTCATTCCAGCCTTCTGCAGGTCTACAATCTTGTCCCTAATGTCCTTTGACAGCTCTTTGGTCTTGCCCATGGTGGTGAGGTTTGAATGGTAGAAAGAGATTCTGTGTTTTATATACATACGTTGTCCGGAGCACCTTCTTAAATTTGACAGGACTAATTTGTGTACCACATAGCCAGTCTGTGGGAGCCAGAATTATTGTTGGTTGGTTGGGGATCAAATACTTAACTCACTGAACTGCAACTCCATCTATAACATTTTGTATCATTTGTTTTTTCTGGATTTTTGGTTGATATTCTGTCTATCATTTAAAATACACCCAAGATAAAATTATAGACCTTTTTATTTCTTTTTAAGTGGGCAAACTTACAAAATCTACAGGGAATCAAATAAGTGTTTTGGGAAAAGTTTAGTACTTGGATTACAGTAAAACCCTACAGATGTATCCTACAGATGCACCCTTATCAAAACGGAAAACCGTTTTAGATTCACTTACACTTTAAATGTTAACCTTTAATATTGCAATCTGCTAACAGCTTGTCATATTTTCTGTCCTTCATCATACTAATAATGGCAGAATGTTGTGTTATAATTTGCAGAAACATTTCACTTAAACCCTACAATAACAAAAGTGAAATGGAAAATGACTTCTTGTTTAATAAAATAAAAAATGGCCACAATCCTCTTCAAAGTTACAGTCCACAGATTTAAATGGTTGTGGAAGCAATAGGTAGAACATTATCTCCCCACGGATTTGGATTGTACGCTATTGGCTCTCTGACATGAGATATTATCTTACACATTAACAATGACTTGGGCTTTGATACGGCCAGGATCTACCACACCCCTACAAACCCAGTAGAACACCCTTCTTTTTCTACTACCTGGCTTTCTTTCCTCTCACCTTATTTCTCTTACGTACAGACTGTTGGGCGGACACGCTCACTCACACACTTGCGCACACTCACTTGCGCACACTCACTTGCACACACTCACTTGCACACACTCACTTGCACACACTCACTTGCACACACTCACTTGCACACACTCACTTGCACACACTCACTTGCACACACTCACTTGCACACACTCACTTGCACACACTCCATGCAACCTACAGGCATCCATGTAATCAACTGATAACCGTTTGTGGTCAAATCCTATTCTCTGTATTGTGAGTGGGTGTGGTCATTTAATTTCTTGATGTGAAATGCTGTCTACCGCCTGTTTTTTTACTATTTTGTTAGTCCTGAAATTATTTTTTTTTTAAAAACACTTCCTGGAACAGAAACCTGTCGCTTGTACTGTATCTAAGGCAATCTGAGTCTGAGCGAAAATGATATGCACCTGCATGTTACCGGCTGTATCATTTTCTCCTCTGTTCACCTCTCGCATGTCTCACAGTTGCCATTTTTTGCAGATTTTCTTGAACAGCCAATGTAACAGCACAGTAAATTTTTGTAATCTGAGAACTTTCTAAACTGTTAAGGCTCTGTTCACACCTAGGCGTATCGAATATGCGCGTGTGACACACGTTTTTACCGCGATTCTTGGCTGTATCCCAATGGAAACGCACAACAAAAACACCGCAAAGAAGCTCATGTACCTTTTCAGGCGTAGGCCGTTTTGTAGCGCGTTCAGACGGGCTGAAATACTGCAAGGTGTGAACCATACCCATAGAAAACTAATGGGATTTTCATGTTTGAGCGTTTTGTAGAGCGTTGAACGCGCTACAAAACGTACAGGTGTGAACCAGGCCTTAGTGTTTCTATAGAATCCACTGCTGGTTTATGAATGTTCAGTTCGCAATTTAGATTCACTTTGGACGCATAAAAAGGCAGTTTTCTCTTTTTTGATTTTTCTTCATAGTTGACGTTTCAATGTTTATAAAATGCCCATAAAACACGACCAGCGCCTTTAACCTCAGTGGTGTGGTGTGGATGACAGTTCTCTATTGCATGTGTTTTGCAACAGCAACTCATGCTGAGATGTGTTTGGAGTGCAGGCAAGCGTTACGCTTTAACCTAATTAAAAAAAATCACACCAAAGGAAATGGAACATTTTGGGGACATGAAAGACTCTTTTTAATCTGATTGTTGGATTAGAGGAATAGTACAGGCCCAGGAAGTTTCCTCCCTCGTATCTAAGGCAGCTTAGGGATTGGTTTTCTTTCTTTGCCTGGGTTTGCTCTTGAAATATCAAATATAGGTGTAATGCCCCGTTTTTATATTTTGTCTGAAAGAAACTTGCAGGATAATTTATGCAGAATAATACTGTCCTGTTGCAGGTGCTGCATTGCTTTATGTAATTTTGGCACCAGCCACTTATTATGCAGCAAAAGGTCTTTTCTGTTCGCTGTAAAGCTTTTGTATTCTGCAGTTTTCCCTTACCTATTCATGCTGATTGATTCTTGTTTTGTTTTCTCCTGAGGATTTAAGCTGTTTGGTTTGTTCTGAGGAGTACTTTATGTAAACTGACCATCGCCTCTTGTCATGCTCAGGCTTACAGAGCAGATAGTTGTCTCATATGGCGACTCGTATGTTTAGTCATGAAGCAACGTCAGGCCATTTTCGCAACCACCAGATCATTTTTTTTTTTTTTTTTTTTTTTTTTTTTGTTTGTATCACTTAAAAGATAAATAAGATGGAGAGAGATATAGGGAGATGTAGGGATAGAGATGTAGATGGATATCTCTAATTTAGCATCTTCTGTTAATGCATTGTGTTTTTATATATTCTCATTGGTCTTTGTTTTGTATTTTTCCCAATGCAAGGTTTTGCTACCTACAGTATCTATGGTTGGAAAACACCTGGGGCCTCGGAAGGATTTGATGGGTCTTAAGAACAAAGAAAATGATGAGAACAGTGGCCCAACAACCACTGTTTTTGTTGGAAACATTTCTGAGAAAGCTTCTGATATGCTTATCAGGCAACTTTTGGCAGTAAGTAAACTTTAAACCTATGCATTTCCACACATCTTGTACCTCTTTTCAGGGCATCCAAAAACATAAAATGGTATTGGTTGTAAAATGAAGCAAGCATTTAGCTGCTGTAGTCAACAAGTGCACTTTTCTCTTTCTCCTAGTTGTGTGGAGGGTCATTGTATTTGAAGTACTTCATTTTGTTTGAAGTACACTTTTTTTTTTTTTTTTGCAGTCAGATTTGAGAAAACCCCAGTATATGTTGTGTTACCATTCACCCAGCCTACCTGTGTGTTTTTTTGTTTTTTTAATGTCCTACCTTATTACTGTTTCTGCCCTGAACAATTTGAAAGAGTTTGTCCTCTCATCAACATACAAAGTAAAAGCCAGATTTCGAATTCTTGAACCCTTTTTTAGTACAGTGTTCAAATCTAGTTTACAACTGCTAATGGAATCTGACAAAACCGTAATGGCATGCTTAATTATAGTAAACATAATTTGTCACAGTTCCCTCCACATTACATAGGGGGAGAAGCTAGGTAGGATTTTAAGCAAGTAAAACATAGTTTAAAAATGTAAGCAGCAATTGAATTATTTTTTTTTTTTTTCAAGTTATGCAATGTAAATGGGAACATGTAATTTTAGGTGTTTTAAACACATTTGTTCACATTTGATTTTGTTTTCTAGAAATGTGGCTTGGTTTTAAGCTGGAAGCGTGTGCAAGGAGCATCCGGGAAGCTTCAAGGTAAGTGTGGTATGTAACCTATTTCTTTTGGCACTCCGTTCCATAAAACAAATGCATGCTTTCCTTCTCAATATTTATTCAAATCTGAATTCGCTAAAGTTTTTTTTTTCTATTCAAATCTAATTTACTCGTATATTTAGCCCTATGTATCTTGTTTACACACAAATCTTTATCATCCACTTTTTATCATTTATCTCCATGTGTGTCCAGCCTAAGGTTTGCATTGTCTACTTTTGACAACATGCACGTGCATAGTATCAAGGTAAAAAGACAGGAGAACCTGCATTGGATGCTAATGTGTAAAAAGTAAAAGAAAAAAAAAAACACTTGCTGTTTTACACACTCTTGGAATTTTTAAATCGTGCGCAATACTGTTAGGCTTATACTTTTAAGTTCCTGATTTGTTTTCCTTTTTGTACAGCGTTTGGGTTTTGTGAGTATAAAGAACCCGAATCTACTCTTCGAGCTCTACGTTTGCTTCATGACCTGCAAATTGGGGAAAAGAAGCTTCTGGTTAAGGTTGATGCTAAGACAAAAGCCCAACTGGATGAATGGAAAGCAAGCAGGCGTGCTTCCAACGGGGTAAGTAACGTTCTTTTGTCCCTGCACAAAATAGAGATAATTTTCCTGTGTTAGTACTACGGGCAATTTTTTTAATTAGTTGGGAAGCCTTCGTTCTTTTGTCCCGCATTTTATTTCTGTCTTTCGATTTCACTCAGTGAAACAACACAAAGTAAGGGGTGCAGAGATCTCCTTAACAGGAAGACAGTTACAGCACTCTACTCTACAATAGTAGAGTTTCTAACCCTTTGGAAGCAATAGGATTGAGCTTTGGGTGTCTCGTTCTCATTTTGTAGCTGGGCTTGACTGAGTAATATAACACCTTCATGGTGATTATTGGGGCTGCTTTGAGCGCTATAATGCACACCATAAGAGGATCTCACAATTGTATTGTTATTACTAATGTTGTCAAATGTTGCCAGCTGGTTCTATGGATTTTCTTTACATTCACCCTTTCGCTGCCACCGACGTGTGGAAGGCAACCGCTTACAGCTGGCCATGTCAGTATGCCATACGTCGGTGGCTTTTACCCTTCTGCTGTAAGCGCATGGTCGCTTCCCTGTGCGTGACTGAACAGAGGATTGGTAAATATCTGTGATATTTACCGATCCTGTGTGCAGCACAAACACTGGAGTGATCAGCTGATCACTCCAGTGTTTGTAAACATCTGGGGACACATAGTACTATGTGTCCCTAGTTATGAATGAACAGAAAGTGCTTTAAATCACTTCCTGTGCATTCATGCGTTTCTCAATGGGGAGAAGCACTCACTACAGAGGCTTCTATCCATTCATAAACTGGTTGATAGTAAAATATTTACGATCAGCAGTTTCTGAATGAATGGGAAGCCTCTGTACTGAGTGCTTTCCATTTATTTAGGGCCAGTTCACACCACAGTGTTCCAGAGCTGTCGGCCTCTAGAATGCACTGTACCACAACCTGGCTGGCTCCTTGTGTTCAGGGGCGGTAGGGGGGGTGGTAGTGGTTTGAAGTCATTGGCACCGCAGCCACACCCGCACCCGGTGCACATTAGTGCCTGCGTTTCGGTCCCGTGCGATCTGCAAAAATCCAGCAGTTGAAAATTAAAACAATGGGGGGGGTGAAATGGTTTGGCCAGCTGAGGTTAAAAGCGTTCCAGAAGGCTCGGCAGTGAAAGGGCTAAAGTAATATTAAAATCTCAATTTTTTTTTTTTTTCAATAATCCAGGTCAACCAAATATACATTGCTCAGCAAACTATTTAAATTTTTCCCCAATCACTTAGTCATACTGTTTCCTAACAGCTAGCTCTAACTCTCTCACATCTGCTTCCCTGTACTTCCTGTCCAGTACAAGATCACAAGGGATAGAACAGCTGTCCCATCTACATGCTTGGGGGAGCAGGGGAGTTGCTTGGCTTGCTGTTTTTGTGGGGCGACACACAGCATACTAGCACACAAGATGATCCATAGGACCCTGCAAGGCAAAGGAGCCCCCATAAAACAGGATATCGGGGCTAGTTTCTGCAGGAAACTAAGACTTTTAAACATTAAAGGGCTGCATCCATTGGAAGTGATACATTGAGTATTTGAAATGGCTTAAAAAACATTTTGACTTGAATTGCTTTAATGTTTCATATTGCTAGCATGAAGCCTAAAAGAGGTTTGATTTCCAATTATGTAGACTGCCCGGCCTGAATCAACAGCAGAGGAAGAGGATGACCTTGATGAGGAAACAAAAAGAAGGGATGGAGTCATTAAAGGTGCAATAGAGCTCTTAATAAAAGAGTATTCCAGTGAGCTAAATGCCCCATCTCTGGACTCTGACTCGCATTCCAAAAAGAAAAGAAAGGATAAGAAAGAAGAGCTATCCGTAAGTCAAGTTAAATGCGTCATTTTGTTGTGTTGTGAAAAGCATTAACTGATAGTCTTTATTCATGAAGTTGTTAGGATCATTATTTGCCATACGAGATGTTATTTTTCAGCATTAAGAGCCAATGTAAGCTGAAATTTATTAGTATGCTGGAAGTAGAGGATTTTATACCATAGGGTGGCTTTGTACAATTAGGCATTGCTATAGTAAAAAAGAAAACAAAGCCTTGAGAACCTACACACAATGGTTTTTAAGCAATTTAATTAAGCATTTGATCACAAAATGTTGCTGAATAGATGAACCCACCTTTACCACCAATGGTTTCTATTAAAACTCTGAGACCATTAAAGCTGTTGCTAGTAGGTTGCTTAATCCCCTTGGTGCTTTTTGTGATCAAAAGCTGGATTACAATTAGTTTCTGAAACATGTGACATTTTATTTCTATAGCCGTTCACAATGATACCATATAGAAATATGTCAGCGGTGTGGAAATATAAAAAAAAAAGACATGTCCAAGGACTAGAATGTGGGGCCGAATGTACTTGTCCCTCATGAGAATCTACTAAAATTTTTCTTTAACCAAAACCCTATTTAACATGCAAGATGGCTGGTCATTTTATACAAGTGATCTGAGCTCCCCCACTCTACATTTACCTCTGCTAGCTCGCAGCAGGGCTAAATGTAGAAACAAACTACCCGCCTGCAACTGCATGTCCCGGGCGTCTGGCGAAAGGAATTCCGCGCCCCTGTATGTATTTATAACTAGATAGTCGTGCTGGCCATGTATATGTTTTTGACAAATTAAAACTGCTGAACAGGTTATAACCTAAACCCAATTAACCTTATTGCAGATTACTTGTTCCTACATCTGGTGGCTGCTATGGTTTCTCATATTTGTATTCCTTAATTTTCACTTGGTGATCCTGCCAGTAACTTCTTTACTAGAGTGACAATGCTCACTCATTGCACTGTATTAAGGTATAAGCATTGTCACTTTAGGCTGCTCTCCTTATGTGGACTGTGAACACCACCTCCTTTCATCTCCATTCCATGGGAGGAGTTATCTGTAGTATACAGAAAATAGCTGGAAAGCTGTTAAAAGAGAAATATGGTGCAACCTTTTATTGTGATCTCTTTAGGGTCACAGGAGGACATAAACAAATGACCTCCTGTGACCCAGAACGCTGCATATAGCGGGTTATTGCAATTTTTGAAGGGTTCCACCCCGCTACCTGGTTGACAGCTGACTCTGCCTCTCTAGCCTCCAATGAGTGCTGGAGAGGGGTATCTTTGCGGGGAGCAGTGACTGTCGCTCACCGCTTTCTGCAGTGAGATGATCGGGCACTTGAGCGATCGGTGGTATGTGATTGCTTAGTTTTCGATCAACAGAACCGACCTTTGTCAGACTCAGTGTCACGCGTCAGCTCGGATTATGGGGGATGAGTGTATTTCACTCTCCCCATAATTCTCCTTTTAACCTTGTTTAAGATGAGCTCAATGCATACAAAGTTGCAAGAACACTGGCATTTTGACAAGCTCAACATTTTTTCCGTTAACGTCTTCCAGGACAGCATTATGAGATGGAGGCCCCTCCCCAAACCACAGGAAACAAGTCACCACTGCAAACTTAAAAGGCCTACCTTTTCTCCAGTCCATCAGTCTTTGTGCTTCCTCTGTCAAACTGGGGAACGTGTCACTGAAACGCTAGGGGAGCCTCCATCTTGCAGCTTTGCCTGTGGCTTCCCTCCTATGATTACCAACCTGCCTGACTGTGTGGGACAGATTTCACTGGCAATATGGTAGGTGATATGCCTTCCCGATTGAGGCCTCTAGCTAGTCCTCCTGTGCAGTCAAAGGGGGTACGCTGGCTTCCCTCTTTCAGTGCCACGTGAGGGCCTGGACCAGAGCTGACAGATCTCCCATGGCTGTGCCCCTTGAAACAGTGCATAAGGTTCTTTAGAGGCAGTTGTTAGGGAGTGGGCAGACCCGGAGAAGAAGCCTCTCCGATCGTAAGCAGAGATTCCCTGTTGACGAAGACTCAGCCTTAATTTTGAACAAGTCGATGTTGAGCCTGATGAAGGGACCCTGCGAGGTCCCGGAAGAGCTTTTTCAACTGACAATCTGTTCAATAAAATGAATGATTGATTATCCTAAAAGGATTTTGGTGTGCTGGTGACATTCTTCTCTACCAAACTTATGTTATAGCGGCGCCATCCGCAGGCATTTCAGCACCCATCCCTGTCATTGGGAAGGAGTGAGACAAGTTCTTCTCTACAAACTTAATTCCGAACAACAGCTAGGGAACAGCTCTTGGACTCCCTTCCAATGCTATTTAAGGGTGTGGGATTTATTGCAGATGCCTCTGCTGAATCAGTTAGGATGACCGCTAGGTCTAAGGCACTTATTAACTCCTCTCGCCAAGCCTTATGGCTGAAAGCTTGGCAGGGTGATTCTGCCTTAAAACCTAGATTTATGTAATCTCCCTTTTTCAGGTGATTTACTTTTTGTATCTGAATTGGAGACATTTTTAGAAAGCACTGCAGACAAGAAAAGCTTTCCTGGAGAAAACTTTTTTGGAACCCCAGAAATAAACCTCAAGATAGGACATTGGCAGGGGCAGAGGGAAAATTCTCTTTATTCCTCCCTCCCAAAGCAGCAATGACTGTCTTCTTCCAGTGGGAGAAAGGTTAGGGGGGTTCCTCCCATGCTGGATGGAGATTCATCCTGAATCTGATAAGAGGACTACAGATTGGATTTCAGCAGTCCTTCCTCCCAGACGTTTTCTTGTTACAAATCTTCCAAAGTCTCCGACCAAAGCAGAGGCTCTTTGTCACATGTTGGGGGAGTTAGTGGATCAGAGAGTTATTCAAATTCCTGAAACGAAAGGGGTCAGGGCTTTTAGTCTCACATCTTTTGTAGTGCGGAAATCTACAGTAAAATTTTGACTGATTCTCAACCCTTAGCCCTTAAACGTTGTAGTGAAGTACAATTGATTCAGGATGGAGTTTGTCTATTCAGCCCCGATTCTATATGGTGGTGCTGGACCTAAGAGATGCCTGTCTTCACATTCCTATCCATCAGACCTTTCAACAATTTCTCAGGTTGGCGTTAAGGATAGGCCCAGTTGTCCACCATTTTCGGTTCAAAGCGCTCCCTTTTGGGCTGTCTTCAGATATTCTCAAATGTTTTAGGGGAAGCCCTTGAGACTGAAGGGGATCAACATCATACCCTATCTACACTAAATCCTTTTGTCTGCCACCTCGGCCACCCAGTTCGAGGAGGATTTAGGGGTGACAGGAAACTAGTTACAAGATCTGGGATGGATCGTAAATCTTCAGAAATCCACACTAGTTCCCTCACAGGTAATTACCTACAGACAACATAACTGCAGTAATTTATCTAAGCAAGCAGGGGGGCACCAGAAGTCCTCACCTGCAAAATCTAGCCAAAGAGGTTTTTTCCTGGGCAGAAGTGAATCTGGCCTCACTGTCAGCGGTTCACTTGAAGGGAACGCAAAATGTCACGATAGGTTACCCGAGTCTTCATAAGTTACTCTAGGACAAGTGGTGTCTAAACCCGGAAGTCTTTTTAAAAAATTTTACATCGGAGAAATAAGGTAATCCAGTAGTGGATCTTTTTGCCTCACAGGAAAATTCAACGATCAATTTTTTTTTTTTTTTTGCTCTGCATCCAAGAGACTCCGCATTGGCACTGGACGCACTGTCAAACCCATGGGTTTTTCCACTTTGCTATGGATATCCCATCCATTTTATCCCCAGAGTACTTCAGAGGTTCTTTCTGGAGAAAACAAAAAGCTCATTCTAATCATGCTTTTTTGGCCCAAGAGAGCTTGGTTTGCTCTCCCTCATGGACCGTCCACCTTGGACCCTTCCTCGCAGGCCGGAGCTAATAAATCAAGGCCCTGTCCTACATCCAGAGGGTCCAGATTCAATCAAACAGCCTTTTATCTGAGGAGAATCTCCTGAGAGCTAAGGGTCTTTCCAATAAAGTTATTGATACTCTTTGTGACGGACTGAACCGTCACTGGTGCTGTTGGAGGAGCCTGGGGGCTAGCCTCCTTCCTACTATGGACCCAGAACTATGGAGACCCCCCTGGGACCTCTTGGGGCTACAATGATCCATTCTACCAGGTTTATGTGTGGAGGGATGTACTGTACATTTTCCCTGGCACTACATTTGGATGACCCTGTGTGTATTATAGGTACAGGCTGTGACTCCAGGAGCACTGAAGGGGGATAATTCTGGACATTGAACTGTTAGTTTATTGGCCCCTTTGTTGTATTGTGTTGATGATGGTATTAGGATAGCTGATTCTAGGAGTAGCTGACTCCGGGTGTAGATGAGTAGATCACCCTATGATACACTCAGGAGATAATCCCATCACATGTGTCTCCTCTCTCCCTATTCATTCATTAAGGCATCGGGGAGGGGATGTCTGTTTGCATGCTGTTCATGTTTGATTGCGTTATGTGTTTAGACCCCCAGAGCTGTATATATATACTGAGCTGGTCTTCAATAAAGCAGATCTTGGTTTCCACCTCAACATTGGTGTTGTCTAATGATTGAGTGGTTTAGTGTTCTGTCCTAATATATTGGTTCTCTCCAATAATTAGGCAGGTTTGGGCTGAGGACACTGGGATTCGGGTTCCAGCGGAGAGGAAGCTGTTTTCTGACGGAGGTACCCAGTCGGGGTACCAGGTGGTCCGTCACACTCTTCTCAGTCGTAAACCTGAAACCTAGAAAGATTGATGACAAGGTATTGAAGACCTTTAGTGCCCGGAGAAGCAGGTGTAACAGGAAAACGGATATCCCAGCTATCTTAGATTTCCTGCAAAAAGGGGCAGACAAGGGTTTAGCGCTCTTTTTAAGTTTCAGGTAGCTGCGCTTACTCGTATCTAGATTTTTCAAAGCTCCAAAGAGAGTAAGGCCAGTTCCCATCAGATATTCGTCAGTGGGATTTATCTACAATATTGCAAGGACTTACCGGCCCCCCTTTTGAGCCCTTAAGTGAATCCTTCACCCTGTAAACAATATTTTTAATTGCTATAACTTCAGCTCGGAGAATTGGTGAACTTCAAGCCTCATCTATCAGAGAACCATTTCTTTCTATTTTTGATGATCGTATTATCCTAAAAACAGATCCTGCTTTTTTACCAAAAATGTCCTCTACATTCCACAATCACAGGAGATTTTCCTATCTAATTTTTGTTCCAATCCCACTAATGACAAGGAAGTATCCTTTCACTGTCTAGATGTTAGACGTTGTCTACTACAGTATCTCCAGGTATCAGAAAGTCAGGTGCATTGTTTGTCCTCTTTTCTTGCATGCTAAATGCAAGCCTCTAAGTCCTCTCTAGCTAGATGGCTTAGACAGTCTATTGGAGAATCTTAGAATGCTAAGCAGTTGCCTTCTCCTACCTTCGTGAATGCATATTCTACTAGAGCCTTAGCAGCTTCTTGGGCCGAAAGAGCTGGTGCTACCCCAGAACAAATCTGCAAAAGCTGTCCCATGGTCAAGCCTTTCTACCTTCGTCTATCATTACCGATTGGATCTGAATTCTTCGGATCAGGCCTTCGGTCGAAAGGTACTTCAGGCAGTGGTCCCGCCCTAATATGTTCTTGGTTATCCACTCATAATGCTGTCTTGGAAGACTTTAAGGGAAATCCACAGTTAGACTTTACACTAACTATTTCCAATAGTCTTCCAGGACAGTAAGTTTCCACCCTTTAGTGTTTTTTTGCATGATTGTTTTGTTGGTGTTGGTGTTTTGTTGGTTGTGTTGTATGTTTTGCTATATCCAGTTTTTTCTTCGGTTATCGTGATGGCTAAGGGACTGGAGAAGCCTTTTAAGTTTGAAGTGGTGACGTGTTTCCTGTGGTTTGGGGAGGAGCCTCCATCTCTCATAAGGCTGTCCTGGAAGACTATTGGAAATAGTTACTGGTATTTTCTGTACTTGCAGAAAATGTACTTAGCCAGAAATAACTAGTACAGCCTCCACAGCTAAGAACTGGTAAGCTGCAAATTACATTTTTGTTTTTGGGTTTAAATATCCTTTAGAATATATACATGTGCTGTAACCTTTTGTGGCCATTCACAATTTGTTATATCATGTTGTACTGCTACTTCAAAGGGATTGCTGTGGATATTTTTCTACTTTGTGTTGTAACAGATTTTCCCTGAATCATTCTCCACGATGGTTGACTGGAGATAGATGGCTCTGCCCACTTGCAGGAAACACAAGACTAGAAAGTTTAAAAGGGCCCATAGGAGCCAGTAACTTCAGTTCTTGTTTCCTGTATACATGTGCACACCATGCCAGCTCCTGGTCTG